AATGACCTTGGACCGAACCGCGACCCTTGCGGTTCGACCGGCCCTTATATGGCCGGTTACAGGCCGGTTCGGATTTAACAGTGTTTGCATTGTTATCTACTTTTATCATGGAGTGACTTTTTTGTTTTGGATTTAAGCATGAATTCATGACAATATAGTTGGGAGTTTTATTTATTTATTTATTTATTCTCTCTCTCTTGCTACAACCATGTGGAGTCCCAACATCTAAAGATCTATTATTATGTGTCCCAAAACCAACTATGGAGAAAGAAAGGATTGTACTAATGGTCCCTCAACTCCTTAAATAGTATCAATATATTCTTGCCTGGTTTTTTGTCTTGTTTCCACATATGATTCTATTCTAACCCCTCCAAATGAAAAGGAATTTGGTATAAATCTACAAAAGTGGACAGCTTTTGGTGATAGATATCCTTTTCCATTGGGCCCACAAAGCTTTCATAAAATAAAAAATGGAAATTTCACAAACATGGGCCTAAAATACTGGGATTCTTTGGGTTGGGTCAATTTTGGAGGGGTTATTATTATAAAACAATATCAAAAATGAGTTTTTTTCTTTTTTAATTTTTTTTAATATATGGTTTTAAATTAAAAAATCAATATCATGGGCAGTTGAGGGGTAAATAAGTAGGGGTCCTTTTGTTAGGTTGGCAATATCATGATGGTGTCTATTCTGTCTATTGGGATCAAATTTCAAATGCCTTTATAATTTGTGCCATGTAATTGCCACTTATTTGTCTTGTTTCCATGTTCAAGTAAATCTAATCAGACACATCAATCACTATATAATAATGTTTTTATTTTTTTCTTTTGCTATTTCTGTTTGATAATACTACTGTATAAAAGTGGGGTCTGTACCATCATGTCAATTCTTTATTTATCACTTTCTTAAAAAAACGTCACAAAATCAATAATTCCTGCTCAGAAAGTTGAAATTGCACGTTTATAAAGACCGTGACAAAATAGTGATAAAATACTATCCAACTTAATTCATGTTTCTAATGATTTAAAATAAATAGATAAGATAAAACCGTGTAGTCAAATACTATAATTTTGTCAAAGTAATTAGTCCAAATGCCGCTCGTAGGTCCCATATTTTCCATCAGATCTACGCGGTACATAAGGTAATACTATGTAAAATAATATAAATAAAAATATAATATTTTAAAGTATAAGTACTTTTTATAATATATTACTACTCAACTGAAAGATAATTAATTTTTGATCAAATGTATTCTTCAAGAATAATTTGAATTTGACTAATTCCTCTAGCAGAAGTGTGACTGGTTTGNGCAAAAATACTAAATTTACTATGTTAATTCACATTCTTTGCAACAAACATCTACAAACCATCTTTTTATTTTTAAATAATTAAAATTCCTTTTTTTTTAATTTTTTTGGGTAGGGACAAGACAAGACATGACTAAGAAATATCATTTCAAATGTACCACCAATATAATAAATACATAACGATTTTGCTTTTACAGCGTGAAAGAGAGAAAGTAAATAAAGAAAAAAATTAATTATTGCAAACAAATGCATGCATGTGTTGATAACTCATCATATGAGGTTAATTAACAGGACTGAAGCCATCGGGAACGAGGACGGCGCCCCGAGCTAACGTACGCCGGTGGGGCATCTTCAAATTTACCGGCGTTGTTCAAGGGTTCTCTTTTTTTTCTTTTTTTTTTGGAATTTTTTTTTTAACCTATCGCTATATTTTTTTGAGTTTGTCATATAAACTTTTTTTTTTTTTATAATTTATCTTCTAATGTAATCGAAACTAACAGTTTGCCTCCTCAATTGAAAACTCTAATATGTCATAAAAGAGTTTTTAATTTAATTAATGATGAATTTTAAATTTATCTTTAAAATTAATTACATTGAAAGATAAATTATAAAAAAAAATTTATACTACCTCCTATTCTTTTTAAATGTCATTTTGGCTTTATCAACTATTAACCAAAATAAATGTCGTTTTGGATTTTTTGTACATATTTTTCCATTTTTACCCTCATTTAGTTAATAAATACACTACGTCTTTTCATATTCTCTTCATCTTTTTTTTAAAACATCTATCTCTATCTTCATTAATGAGGGTTAATATTGGCAAAAAAATTATTCTTAATTAGTGTGCAACTTCCCAAAACGACACTTATTATGAATACGAGGGAGTATGACAAATTCAAAAAAATGACATACTTTGGGAGATTAAAAAAAGAATTCCTTTGTTTTTTTATCCCAATTAGGTTCCCAACAAAGGCTGCAATTAATCACTGACATTATACTATAAATGAGTACTATTTTATTAATTTATCATTGTTATTTTTTTTATGCGGTGGCGTTGATTCCAATACGACACAGGGCAGGTCACTAAAATGACTCTGCTGCTTCGCAGTGATCCACACGTTGTGGGCTCAATGGACCCATCAACAAGGAATTGTTTCACAATATTTGTTATTATTTTATTTTATATTTTTTGGTTCAATTTAAGTGGATGCCAAAATCAAAGGTGGGGTATTGATTATAAGATACATTTGTATGCTAAAATCAAACTTAATAAATATTTTTAAAAAGTACTTATTATATTTTTTAAAATCAAACTTAATAAACATTTGATCAAACGTAGAAAAACATATAAATATTCTTAACTAAATCTAACTATATATGTGTGTAAAAACTCAATCGACTACAAGAAAGTCAATCACATAATAATACAATATTTGAATTTGAAAGCATGGTCAGATATTTAAGACAATCATCAGGATTTTTATCATTTAATCAACATATAAAAATAAACATATTCATACGTGATTGTACTTCTGATCCAATTGTTAAAAACTCGACTGTAGTATTATACAATTAAAAGAATCTGGTTCGTACATCGACATATATATACTGCTAACAAATTCTTGAATGGATTTCACAGTTTCCAATTAGGAACAAAGAACATGATTATTATATTAATTTAGCTACGTCAATTATAAGCAACATCATTTTTTTTCTTTAAATTAAGTGATTTTGCAGGCTAGCTAATAAATAAATAATTATGATTCCCAAGTACAATTGGCGATGGCTTCTTTATCCTATACATGTATAGTAAATTATTAGGTCCATTTCCTAGACCCAAGCAACTATTAATTGCAATTAGGTCCACATTCAAATCTGAATTGGTGATAATTATTAATTCATTTCCAAAAGATGACCACAAGAAAAATAATAATTCAGGAAAAAAAAAATCATAATTTATTATATGGAAGCCATTTATAGCATAACAAAGATAATATAAATAAAAGGCATCAACCAAGCTTTACTGTCACAATAATGCCTTAATTTCACAAATTAAATAAACAATGATTGTGACAATCAATACGTACATCTTCTATGATTGTTTTATTGAATGAGAAAAATCAGACTGTATGATTCTGCAATTCATTGCCCAGCGAATGAATAGTATTACACTCCATCCATAATTAGTTTATTTTATTTATTTAGGAAGATGATGATGAAGGAAAGGATAATGGAAGGCATGAGGAAAGTCCTCGAAATAAAGAAATTAAAGCAGAATTTGGCCTTTTTCGTTCAACTCATTATTACTTTAGGCTGAAAAAACTGACAGTAATGTAGTATGATAATTTGGACAATAATAATTAAATGAAATGAAATGAAATAAAATAAAATAAAATGAGAGCCATCAGAATTGAAAGAGAAAAATGGTGAAAGTGCTATGAATTTGCACTGACCCGTTTGTCTTCATTGTACCTATATTTTGTGGCCCATCAACCAAAACTACAACAACATATTCTAATATATTTAATGTCGTGACCCCGAGGTTTTCAGATTCCTAATAAATCAATGATCAATATAAAAAAAAATTCTACAAAAAACTACCTATTTTTACCTCTCATTATTTCGTCATTTTATTCAAAAACCCTAATTGATTGGAAGAACATTACCACAATAAATTAATAAATGATAGATATCACTATAATGACTTAAGTTTAAACTTCAATCACTAATATTGTTCATATAATTAGAATTCAAATTTAAAATGACAATCACTCTCAATGTTTTAATTGTGGACGACTTTTAAGTGCAATTAAAATCCTAGTCCCCAAAGGACGTGGTCCTCCTTCAATTAGCAAAAAAGTAGCTAACAAATTAACACGACATTTTGGGTGACCATTAATAAATAAATATCCGTTGCCTATATTTTGTGGCACAAAGGCAATCAATGCCTAGAATTGATTTGATGAAATAAAACCCATAAACATGGACCAAAAATACAAAAATATATATATATAAAAAAAAAAAATAGGAAGAATTATCAATCGATCAATTAATTATTTTGTCCTTCCAAGAAATTATTTTTGCTTTAAAGGTGGCATAAGTCACAAGGCAACAAAGCTTTGAGGGGACAAAGGATTTCACGTTGGTCCGTAGGACTCTAAATAGAAGTTGCTTTCACATGGCCTGAAAAGTTAGGGGAGGAAAAATAAAATTAAATTAAATTAAATGAAATAAAAAGTCGTGGTCCTATACGTGACATTTTAATTGCATATCTTTGAAGAAAACCACCAAAATTTATTATGCTTTTTTCAGTATCCTTGATATCCCACCTGCTTGTGTGTGTTGTCAACTATCATATAACCAACTCACAGCCCCATATTTATTATTATTATTATTGGTAGTAGGATACTATAATTTTGAAAGAAAAAAAATAGTTTGTATTTGATTGTAATTACAAGATTAAATAATTCACTTTTATGGTAATTTTATAATCATATGCTAAGTGAATAAGAGAGCTCCCATTTTATTGTATGCCAATTAAAGTAGTAGATGGCTATATGATTTCGAATTTTGATATAAACAACTTGTGTCTTTTTAGGAAAATCTCTTAAAAAATTACAGCATTCATTGACTCAAACTTTTATGAAGGAAACTAGTAGAGTATTAAAATTTTGAAAAAAAAAAAAACATTAATGAGCACAGACCCTCATGCCAATGGACTTATGGACAATAATGTAAATTATGGCCTCAAAGCACATAATAACAATCCAATTGGTCCTCATATGTGAACGGATAGATTGAAAAGGACCATAAAGTAAATACCAAAAGTGGTGATTCCCATTAGTCATTACCTTCCTAAAGTTGACAAATCTACCCACTATTAAGGAAAAATT